GAAAACGCAGAAGAGAAGAAAGGTGAGAACTTCTTTCCCCTCTCCTCCATGTTTCTGTTTTTTTTTGTTTTTTTTTCTTAGTCCTCTGCATCCTAGACTACCCTCAACTTCTTGTTATAGTAGACCGGAAGGTCGTGTTGACAGCGAAAGTTAATGGATGGGGGAACATGTCCTCACCTGTGTCACTCACATCACGGCATTTGAGTAAAAGCTGACAGGGACAAGACAGCACGTCATAACTGAGTGCATTTTTTTTTAGATGCTCTTCAAAGTATTGGTGTCAGTTCTTCTATCTCCCTGTCTTTCCAGAGGAAGATAGCGACGAGATCAAGATCGGGACGTCCTGTAAAAATGGAGGGTGCACTAAAGTAGGTGAATGTGTCACACGTAAAACATTTTGGAATAAATTCTTGTGGTGTTGAAATGTGTAAAAATCTCTGTCTTTACCCGTATTTCTGTAGGGCTTTGGCTACAGCAGCTTAAATGTTGTGATTTCTAAGTTAAATTCATTTCACACATTTAGAAAAATTTAGCATATGAATAGATATCATTATGTGAAAACAAAAACAAATCATGTTGATCCAAAAAGATTAGAACGCCCCTAAAGAACTCACCGCTCCGGGTTAATGAGAAATAGAAACAGCTCCTTTCGCTCCTCCATGTTTGCTCTGAAACAGATGCAGACCAATTTTTTATTTTTTGCTCAAGCTAATCTTGAGGGGGGGCAGAAACCCTAAGTAGTCGCACATAAATTGTGAGAAAAATTTGCATTGACGGGTTTTGTAGAAGCGTGGAGTGGAACTATAATGATTTACATAATTGTACTTTAACTGATTTGATTGCCATGTGATATTCTCTCAAGGGCTGCCTGCTTTTAGTTGATTAATCAGCCGGGGTCTCGGTGGAGTCTAAATGTTGTACTTTTTACATTTTCTCTCCGAGGTCTTTATTAGAGAAAGAGGGTATTAGACATTACTCATGCATTCCCCCTCTATCATTTCAATGATATTCTAAAATAAGCTTTGGGCTTTAATAAGCAGTAGACTTGAGGAGATCCTTCTGCCTGCTACCATTCATCTGCACAGAGATGACAGTACTGAAGAAATAATTTAAGACTTGTCATTTCATATAACTAATTTGGAATCCTATGACTATTAACTCTGCGACTTTCATTAGCGGAGGAGGGCCTAATTGGCATACATGCACAGTTTAGCCCTAATTGTATTTTTGATAGCAAAGACAATCTGCTTCAGTGTCTTGAACTGCACTTTTGTTGTTGTCTTCAGAGTTTTGAAGGACCTGCAAGCGATTCTGATGTGTGCTTATACCACTCTGGATTTCCTATCTTCCATGAAGGGTGAGTATTATTATTTAATTCAAGCTTAAAACATCTTAACTTTCCGTTCTGTTCTGTGTGTCACTGTACTGACATGAAATAGTAGATATTCTCTGTAAAAGAGAAGCATGGAGAGCAACACTTGTATTTTCCTGCTAGTCTTCCTGTTTACCTTGTTTACTGCTCCTCCTGAGTGACATGTTATTGACTGCTAAAAATCCAGCGGGTGTATGTCTTTCCTGCATCTCCAGGATGAAATACTGGAGCTGCTGTAAGAGGAAAACCTCCGACTTTAACACCTTCCTCTCTCAAGAGGGCTGCACCAAGGGAACACATCTATGGAGGAAAAAAGATGAGGTAGGTGTGCCCGCTTCACAGCAAAGTCTTCATATTATGTGTGCAAGGTCTGCGTGAGAGAGGAGGCCTCAGCTGTAACTCCATCTAGTGGAGTCTGGTGAACACTTGCATGGTGGAGAAAAAAAAGAGACTTAATGGCTGATTTTTTCATTTGTGTATCAAATAATCTCCATTGCAGGGTAAGAAAGTGGTTCCGTGCCGGTTTGACTGGCACCAGACCGGGGCACAAGTCATCATCTCTATCTACGCCAAGAACGCCGTCCCAGAGCTGTGCTACGTGGATGCAAACAGCACCACGGTCAGACGATTTCTCTGCACGTCTAAACTGCTTCATTTGTTGTTGGATTTTTTTTTTTTTTTTTTCAACCTAATGTTTATTTCTCTTTTCTCCTTTAGCTCAACATACATGTCATATTTGAGGGAGAGAAGGAATTTGTGCAGAAAATCAGTCTGTGGGGAGTAAGTACAGCATCACTCTCAACCTGATGGAAAAGTCTTGTGACCTTTTTTCTATATGCTGGTTTTAATACATATGTATACTTTTTGTACAGCACTCGAGACACTACAACATAACATGTTTATACACTCATTACACTATAACAAACAATAATATATATGTCTTTTATTATTTGATACGGTATGATTATTTGATATGAGCTACACTAGATGACCTTTGGAGTGGGGATTCAAAATGGCAGCAACTGTACTGAGAAAATGAATTACCACCTGAATATACAACACTAGTTAAAACATCACTTAAAGCTGCTCATATTCACGCTTCTTTGCCAGACCAGCGTGTCGATGCTGGTCCGGCAAACAAGCTTATCTGTTGTTTCACAGATTTTTCTGCTTTACTCGTCACATTTTGATTCTTAATTTCCTCTGGGCTGGAGAGTGCACATAAGTGACCCCACAATTTGATTGGAGTAAACTGGGTGAATCAAGATGATCAATTTGAGTTTTTAGGATTGGATGTAGGATTTCAGCTTGGTAGAAAAGATCATTTTCTGAAAATACACCCAAGGCCTGTTTGCTTTCAGGCTTTTCATATGTTTTCTTTACCACCAGTTTCTTTCTTTCCTTGTAGGTGATAGATGTGAGTAAAAGCATAGTGAACATGATGGCGGCCAAGATCGAGGTAGCCATGAAGAAGTCCGAGGTTATGTCGTGGGCTCGTCTGGACCTCCCTCCCCCCGTCACGCCCAAGGAGAGCGAGAAGAAACAAGAAGAGGCCGATAGCGAGGATGAAGACGAATGATGAGGACTTACAGTAAAAACACAGTGTGTATCTCTCGCTGAATCCAAGGCCACACAGTCCATTCTTTACCTCCTCAAAGAGTCGCCTCTTTTGCTGTCATGGAACTTTGGCCTCAACTCCTCAACATTTACAGCCACAACTAAGAATGCTCAATAGTCAACTTTCTTGGTTTTGCCTGTTTTTTCTCAATTTTTTTTTTTTTTTTTTTTTTTTTGAACATGAAGTAGGTCGGTATGCTAAAGAATCTTCAAGTATTTTTTACAACAGTTTTTCACTTCAGGAATGAACGATAAGTGGAGGAACTCTGACTTTTAATAGACCTTCAATCAAGTCAGACTATGACACACTTGTGAATTGCACTGAATAACATCAAACAATAAGACACAATAAGATAGGAGTCGTGTGGCCATGTTTAATTTCACACCCGTAAAGCCTTTCATGTGGACAGCTCACATCTGGCCAATCCTAATGGACCACAGTTGTGACCATCTTCTGTTTCAACAATATTTAGTCAAAGATTATTCCATCTGTACATTTCCATTTGTTTCTGTCATACTCAGCACATTATATATATATTTTTTTTTTTCATTCCATCCTTTGGTTTCATTAATTGTATAAATTATTGCGTTGTTTTTGCATATGATTTGTCCACCAGCGTCACATCAGACTAAATGCTGTATTCATGCTGTGTTTGTGTGATGATGAAGCCGCTCTGTAGTTTGAGTAGGAAATCTGGATCTCGAAAATGTCCACACTTGTGTAATGTGGCGTTTATTTCCAATCAACTGTTTTTATAAGAAACACAATAGGACGCCTAAACTTAGAAACTAAATGTTTTTCAGCTATGCTTCAACTATCCCACCTTTTTCACAATTCAAATGTTCTTTTTTTACATGATTACACCTAATGTATATTTTGTACAAGTTTTGCTTCCAAATGATCAATGGTGTATTTATCCCCTTTTTTTTTTTTTTTTTGTCACAACAACATTTTAATAATGAGAATGTACTGTAAGAATATCTGAGAACGGCAAGTGAATACAAAGTATTTTGGGCAAAGTCCTGTGTTATATTAAAAAAAACAAAAGCTATACTAGACAGCATGTGTCCAGGCTTGGAATGTTTGACATAAATGTGGCTGAATGAGACCGCGACATAAGGGTAATATTAATATTATTAGGGAACTAATTCGTCTTACCAAAAATAAACTTTTGTGTTCAACTTTTAAAACTGGGATATTGTGTGTGTGTGTGTGAGTGTGTGTGTGTGAGTGAGAGCGATGGAGAACTACAAGACCAGACTCCGCCAACCTCGTGGGAGCTTGTGAAATGATGAATGAAAGTAGGAGTGACCTTTCAAGTGAAGATTCTGACCCACATGCAACTTTTGGATTGAGGTGACTTTTACAAATGTCATAAAGTTTTTTTTTTTTTTTCTTAAACGTGTACATAACTCTTAAGGTTAGAATACTGAGCTCCATCTTTGATATAGTGGCGATGTCTTAGACCTTGACAGCTAAGCAGACATTATCACCTTTTTCTCTTCCCTCACGCCACAAACATGAATCCATTTACATGTTAATCAAACTCCCACGTAAAGATAATAAAAGAACCCCCCCCCCCCCCCCAGGCTTCTGCAGATTTATCTGAAGACTTTGTGTTACTTCCTCTGAATGGCAGCTGCATGCATGTAGGATATCATTACTTCATACTAAATGTATATGACTGACACAACACAGTGCAGAGCCTGATTCTCAAGGTAATTGCCTAAAACCAGAGGGAAGAAGAGATGTGAAAAGTCACTTTGGAACATTTCCATGACAGAAACTAAATGATGCACAGACCATGTCTAAAATGACCTACTGGGAAGAATTTGACAAGTTACAAGTTGTGGGTGGAACATGCTCAGAAGTTTTAACATAACCTCCTTTAAAACTTTCCACAGTTTAAATACAGCGGCTTCAATAAAGATTATAGATTCATTACAGTTAGTCAATATAATGTATAATTCACATGGCTTTGATATTAAAATTCATAGATGCGTGCGTCACTACACGGGGCTTGCTGCGCCCTCACATAGTTGTTTGGTAGTTACGGTGGCTGCTTTCCACAGTGTCATTGCTCCAGATAAGTGGCTGCCTTTCTGGGAGAGTAAATAAGTTTTTCCAACTGCTCGCAGGCAGCCAAGAGGACCCTCGGTATCTCCGCTTTGCAGTGACAACGGCAGCAGCTACGGCCACCGCTACGATCCCCCCACAGAGCCCTGCAAGCAGCAGCCAGGGCCACACGTCCTGCAACTCCTCCAGGTAAGGCCGCATGGATTCTGACAGCCTCTGATCTGGAAAGGACAGAGAGGTGATCTCAGGTAAAAAAAAAAAAAAGTAGGTGAAATATGTGAGTTTATTTTTAAGTTGGAATAAAATAAAGATGGTGAGTAAATCTGAATGAGTTCGATTATTACAGTTATCTTAGTTATATTACAATCGGTGTATCTTTTTGAGATAAGGAACTATGGTTTCAAACTTTTTTCCTGAATAGATTCAGTCGGTGGATTTTTTTAAAATGCAGGGGGAAATGAAAAACAGATTAACAGATAATGGAAAACAGTAATAGACTTTCTCAGATTCAAATGGAAAATGGAAATAGAAAAACTCCACTCCGAAGTGAACTTACTGGCATCTAGCAGGTAGGAGTACTCGTATCCAAGGTCTTTGCTGGAGATGAAGTATTCTCTGTTTCGGTGCAGGGGCAGGAAGGGCACCATGTGGTATTCACTGTTGTGCCCAATAGGAGCATTAGAGTCTGGATACTGGGATGGAGATGGTCTGTGCCTCCTGAGCCACTGCTCATAAATGCTTTCAGGGGAAGAGAAAACAAACACAGCAATTACTGAAAATGCACCTCCTGCGTCTAGTGTGTGTGTGTGTGTGTGTGTCTCTGTGTGTGTTACCTCTCTTACCTGTCAACAAAAGCGTGGTGGAGAAGGAAGATGGGGTCATTTGCTGAGCCCTGCACCGACGACATGGATCCGTTCATGAACAAATGGAGAGCAGCGTGCATGCCCATACGAGAACTGTTTCCCAAGCCGGTCTGAGGATCCCCGAATCCTGCAAGGTGAGAGGTCGTCTCATCAGCAGGGACATAGATGGCAGCAGGTAGTGGTTAGAGAACCAAAAGCCTGTGGTTAAACTACTAGTTTAATTACTTATAGTTCACTATTCCCCAACACTGCATTTTGGAATTGAACCTGTTAAACATGAGAATGGTTTCCTTGGAGAGAAAAAAATTGATATGTAAATTGTAGTGTATTTCAGTGGCAGTTTCCAAGGAAGTTTTTCTGTAGTGAACTATTTTTTTTTCTGAAAAAAATATGAGATACAGTATGTGTTCAGATCTGATATAGGCTACTCTTGGTATCCTAGGAAACTATGGCATGGCTCTGAAGCTACTGTATGTTGGAGACAGCACTTTATTGAATAGTTCAGTAGTCATACTCAGACTGCTATCAATAGAAAGCATAGACTTGCTGGATTTGTGTGGAATTAATGTCGGCCTTGAGATTCAAACATACACAGATATTAGTGTGAATAAGTTAATATTAACACCGGACAAAGGACGTACACCAAACAACAGGAGCATGTCGGTGTCTTACGGTATAACAGCTTCTAACGACAAATATAGTTGTCAGATTCTGAATCTTATTGACAGTGGCGAGTATCCCCGCATTTGTGTAGAGTGCAAACAAACATATGTCATGTGAGAGAAACAAATTAAAGTGCAAAAAAAATCATCACCAGCACACAGAGGCAGACAGAGTCGATAGATTGACACAATGTGATGGAAGAGTAGCAGTGCAGAGTGGTATATAATTTAAGATGGAGCAGCCCAGAGAGTGAAGACAGTGTGAGTGTGAGTGTGTGTGCGTGTGTGCGTGTTTGTGTGTGTGCGCGCTTGTGTGTTTGTGTGTGTGCGCGCGCGCGTGCTTTATGGTCGAGCTTATCTGACCTTCCAGAGTGTTCCTGAAGCTCATGTTGGCGTTGCGGTCCATGGCTCCGGTGTCATAGTTGGTCAGACTGAGAGTGAACTCCACCTCTGCTGAAGTTGGTAATCGCTCGACCATATTACGGTCTTGGTTTCCAGGGTTACGACGCAATGGGCCTTCTTCCCTGGCATCACACAACACACCTCTGTTATTGTAGTCCTCTGCTCTGGAGCACAGGACCTGTAGACGCAGAGCAAAGTGAATACAGGACAGTCAGTCAGCTAGTTGTTGAAAATTATTGTTACAGCAAGTTGGAAACTAACCCTGCAACTGGTTTACTGTGCTAGATAGATAGATAGATAGATAGATAGATAGATAGATAGATAGATAGATAGATAGATAGATAGATAGGGTACTTTATTCATCTTCATCAAATTCAGTTGTGCAGCAGCTGGCACATATAAGTTTAGCAATGGACATAAATAAATAAATAAAACGGTTGCTATGTAAGAAAAGAGAAGTAACCAGAAGAAAACATTATTGAAATGAAATGAAAAGAAAAGTCTACCCTCCAAGAGGAGAAGACCGAGCCTGGACTGAGCAGACTGGGATCCTGGGTGCTCCGGCCCCCCATCAGCTCGTCCGTGCACACGTCACAGCCCTGGGCATCTCTCCAGTCCCAGTACGGGATGGTGAAGCTCCTGTCTCCGGTCAGCTTCCTGATCTCATGCTCCCAGTGCAGCAGGTACACGCGGTGCCACGGGAGAAACGCAGGCGCCCAGTGGGCAAAGTCCACATCGGTCCACACGTTCCCCGGCCCCCCCAGCAGCGCGTTCCGGGACACGTAGTAATGCATCCACACAAAAACATCATACACAGACACATCAGCGAACATCGGGGCAGAGCCGTTCTCCATCTCCATGTAGGTCCCCGTGACTACGACATAGTCCCTGCTGACAGTCTGCTTGGCCAAGTTCAGGTAGGACACGAGTCTGATCCTCTCGGCCCGGGACAGGTGAAATATGTTTCTCCTGAGAGACTCTCTCCTCTGGTCACAGTTCACACCAAAGTATCCAAACTTACAGTCCGCGCAGTTGAAGCCCATGAAGTTCCCTGCGCACTGGCAAGTCCGGTTGTAGAAAACCAGGGGCCACTTCTCTCTGTCGTCCAGTCCAGAGAAGGGGTACTGCGGCCCGTCGGACCGGTCCGACACCTCCACATCCTGACAGAAGCCCCGGCCCGAGCTGGCTCCGCAGGCCGAGCCGTCCCCTTCCCAAGGCGGGCAGCACACCTTAGTGCGCAATGCTTCCTGAGTGGCACACAGACGAGGGAACTGTTGGTAGCAAGGAACAAAATACAACATGAAACTAAAGATTATCAGTGGCCACATTACAGCAGCGTTTCACTTTGGAGACGGCGAGCAGTCACCCAGAAATGAAGCAAAGTGGGAAAGCCCATGTGATGTTCTCTGGCTTAAATTCTTCAGGGGTTTTCACCCCCTCCTCTTTGTTGAGCCGGTCACATGCTGCTTAACCTCAGGGTGAAGCTTACCTCATGAGGGGGGCAGTTAGCCCAGACATTCAAACTCCTTTTCTGAAAAAAAAGAAATGATTGTAGATTATAGTTCCAGTCATGTGAGAGTGTGAATCAAGCAAAACACATGATCACTCTCACTCTCTCTCTCTCTCTCTCTCTCTTGTAGTTCTCCATCTCTCTCTCTCACACACACACACACACACACACACACACACACCCACACACACACACACACACACACACACACACACTGACAAATCAAGTAAACTGTTATGGGGGCTCCACAGAAAGACAGAGATACAAGTGTAAGGAGAGTAATATAATAACCCATATTTTCATATTCATATGTGCATGAACAGTATAACGTATGAACAATATATGATTCATATATGATTTTCTTCCTATTTTTCATGAACAGTGAGGCAGTTGAGGGCAAATCATCTTGTTCACCCTCAAATGAGCTAATAAACTACACATACTGCAGTCAGCTATGATCTAATGAAAAATAAGATCCTCAGTCCTTTGAAATATCACATTTGCAGGGTTTCATTTTTGTGGTTATATGGCCGCGTGATACTTTATGTCATCACCTGCAGCGTAATCTAAGGCAGGCACTTAAAACAAAGGATTTACTGAAGACAAGCTGTTGAGTAAAGCATAATAAAGACACCGTCGCCTCAGGCAGGAATATGTGGCGTTTGGATTTAGTGCTTTCTCAGAGGAAAACATTAATGTCTATTGAGGTTTGTCAGTACTGCCGTCTCACATGGCTGTCTGCACCTGTCACCACAACCACTGCACCCTGACCTTTGACCTTTAGTCTAATGGTAATAGAATTGTTTGCATGTGACTCTCACAGGGAAAGAACATCACAGAGTTTGTTTGTTTTTTCAATTGCTAACAGGCATATACTATATAAGTCAGTGCCGAGGCCACTTTTTCAAACCTCTTCGTTCAGCCCAAAATTACTGATGCGCATCTTGGCCGAACGGTTTATCTCACCTCCAAAACTCACTCCACCACCAAAACACTTCATACATACGATCGACCATCTGCAGCACCTTTACTGACCTAAAAAACACCAACAACAAGGAGCATTTCATGAATGATGAACTTTTATCTTTGAAGTTTGAATGATTTTTCACATAAATCAGTATTTCATCATAGAATAAGAAGAAGACCCTCTCACTTTATTGACTGTACTGAGGTAGGCCATAACAAGAAAGAAATGCAGCAGTTTGCTTCAATATCCTTTTTTTTTTTGTTGTTTCTACATCTTTGCACAGTGTAATTTACTTGTGCAAAATAAAAAGTTGAAACAAAAAAACAATTTCCTGAAATTCCAGGGATAGAAAATAACAACATGTTTAGTATAATCACTAGTACTGTGAGGTCTCTAGTCCTAATCAACATCACATCATATGTCTTCTCTGATGATTCAACCTTGGCAGTCATCGGGCTTTCAGTATCCACATCTGGTCATGTGGATAGGGGTCATAAACCTTCCACCTCCACACAGATAAAAACTCCTCTATAGGGGTTTAGGAAGGAGGAGCATTGAGGTAGACTGCAGCACAATGGTGGGTTTGCCACATTATCTCACACATCAGCGAAGATATAGGGGAGTTTGTTGCCCCTCAACTTCTCTCCAAGTCGATTTTATGCAGGTCATCCAGAAAAGATCTGAGCCTCTCTGTATTGTGGGGGCCAGCGAGTGGTTTGTGTAACAGCAAATCATCATCGGACAGTGTTGCACACACAGCGATGTTGGGACAATCATTTCTTTATGTGCAGAGTTTTTTTATCCCGTTGGAATCCAGCTCCGTCTACAAAGATGAATGCATGTTCAGTTTGTCTGCACGGCGTCCATCTCCATTACTCTCTAAAATACTGTAAATCCACAGTCCTTTACATTATGCAAAGCCATGTGTGTTCCCTGTTTGGTTATTGAACAGACGTCTTACCTGGACATTTTGATACAGGAATTCTTTCACATATTCACTGTTTCTCTCAAAGGGCACATTGTACAACTGCGTCATCTTTATTTTATTTTTCTGCAGGTCACTGTGCTGACCATAGATTCACATTCCCAAAAGTAATATTGTCTGCCAGCATTCTGCCCTGAATTTTCATCCAGTTTCATTGTATTGTTGCCAATTACAATATAAACAATGTCTGCCCATCTGAAAATATTCTGCCTCTCGCTCCTGTGGGAGGCAGTGTTTGGATCCTTCCATAAAACACACACCAATCAATGTATTTCAAAATGTCACTACATGTAAAAACATACTGTATTGTGTTGTACTGAAATATGTACTTAAATTATCATTGAACGATACAAATCTCACCTATTGTTTTGCCGGAAAATGCATCCTATTGATGCGACTGTTGAACGCGGCAGATTAAACCGGCCTTTCTCAGAGAGAGATCGTGGTTTACAACCTGTTGTGGCCTTTATCTCATCAGCGACCGCTGCTCTTCATCTTCCTCTCCTTTGTCCTCCACACGTTCCCTCTCTCCATGCCACTTTTCTTTTCCCCACCAGCCTGACTTACTTGATCCATGTTTCCAAACAGAATCACCCCAAAAAAACGACTAAGAACAGGACACCGGAGTAGTCTTTCAGCTGAAGTTACTATGAGCTGTGTTTTGGAGCGGTTATTATTAAGATTTTCTATATATTTCAATATGTTTGCTGCAGAAATGTACAAAGTTTGCCATAGTTCTGTTTTGAATGTGGTTTTGAAGTTATTATTTGAAAAATACAGTATATGCAGTGTTTTGCAGGCGGTGGAGTATGAATGAGAAAAGGGTTTGTGGATTTTTTTGGAAAACATGCTCATTGAATGCATTTTGTGTGAAATCCACGAAAAGTAATTGTCAGTTTTTTGTCTGTTTAGCTGACTGTGTGAAGAGCCTTGACTTCAGTTTTGACCAGTCCATGTTAGCAACAGTCTATGGTTTGCAATTGAGTTCATGACATCAGATGAGTCTCCACCAGAGGGCGCCATGTGACTATTTCCAATGTCTTTCTGGCTCTATAAATAGCAAGTCACCAGGGCTACTTTCTTTCTCTCTGTGTTGGCTCTCTCCAGGTAACTAACAAATGTTGAACTAAGAAATTCTTTTATTTGTCAGTAATGACATGAAACTTGAGGAAGTTTTTCTTTGGCTGAAGATGCATCACACATCTTACCCCACAAAACGTCCACATCTGTGACTTTAAATGCTATTTTGTTGTGAGCCTGCTGAAACCCTGTTACACCAGAAACCACTTGGTTCAGCTGTGTGGAATGTGAACAAATCTCTGATGAAACTACTAAAATCTAAATGAATCACTGTGACTTCCATGTTACCTCTTGCCTCCTCTTACTTACTGCACCCAACAGTGTTTGCTCTTGCTCCTTTAGAGTTGCAGCCTCTCTAAGTTAAAGCAGGATGTTGCACTTGACCACCTGAACTGAACCACTGATGTGCCTCACTGCTGTCATCGTGCTGAAACTACACGTTGATCGTGTGCTTTATAATGTTCCGACTCTCCTGCTTTCTTTCCTAGTTTCCCACTGCAGATTAAGCCAATAATCACAAAGCAGCATGTTACAATTTACATATTAATGTATATTTATGACCTTAGCAGTTTACATTCACACAAGTGAAAATGTGAACCTGATTTCTGTCTCGCCTGTTTATGATTTACCTATTTGTGGGATCACATCCTCTCCTCTGCAACTTTCAACAAAGAGTCGCTGGTTTTCACAGTATTGCTGAATGTTTCTAGTGTTTAAATCGAGAAATACATTGAAGTAGGAGAGAGCTACACTTGTTATACACACTGTATGTATACAAAACTGACCTTTAATTATGTTTGGAGTCAGTCTGGCCTAAGGCAGGGGAGAAGAGAGTTGCAGTGGAAGTGCATGTAAGGATAATTCTGTCTCTTTTCTATTGTAAGCGCTGTTATTTTCCATCCAGCTCAGATGGGCCTCAGCTATGTCTCTTTGAAAACACATGGTCATGACAAATATAATGAAAAGCCATGAAGCACCGAACTGAGTAGATATAAAGTATATTTTTAGATTTTAGACTTGGGTCAAAACGACCTGGAGCACAGGAGGGTTCAAAAACATGGGCTTATACATGACTGTTTGTGAAAGTGACAGAAGTTCCATAGACACAATGAAATTAGATGTTAAATGTAATTATGGGAATTAGCAAGTTTCACAGACATCATGGGTGGGCAGTTGAAACGCTGTAACTTTCCAATTAAACATATCTGATTAATAATTGATCGATCATTCCTTGTCGGTTACCACACAAAAGGGCGAAAGAGTCAAAGATTTGAAGTTGAAGTGCAAGAGGAAGAGGAGCTCACATTCGCAGCTGACTGGTGGCTGATCGCCCACAGATAAGCGATGACTTCCCGCATTGAGCACAACTATTGTTGCTTAAATTAGCTTGATTCTTCTTTGATGATATTAATTCTCACGTTTCATTCCTCATTCTCTGAAATAAATATTTGTTTACTTCCTTCTTTTCTTATGTTAAACGTGCGCCTGTGTGGCTCGTGCGTCTGAGTTCTCCGCAGCTGAACCCATTTAGTCACTGTTGAGGCTCCATGCTTTCCACTGTTTTGGAGTAGGAGGAGGAGGAGGAGGCAGAGAAGGAGGGAGGGGGGGCCGCCGTGTGCGTCAGTAAGTCAAACATGTTCCAATAACGGGCTATATTATCTGCTGCTATTTGCAGTGTGCTGTAGCCAGGCACCAGGCTGAGCTTTGAGCAGAAACCTGCAGCGCTTCTCTTGTTGCTCCTCTGTGATGGAAACGCTCTCTGAAGGAATGGCATCTGCAAGGCAGCTGGCAGAGAAGAGGTAGGCTGAAGTTGTCTGTCAGTTTGGGGGGGGATAAGTGGAGCCGCACAGTAATGGTTTAATTCGTGACTACAGAGGAGATAAGTGAGGTTTATATAGTTTGTTAGCACTTGATTGGACCACCAGCCTAAGATGTCAGTTTTGCCTTAGTTGCATGATGCGCTGCCAACATCATTTCAGCACCATGGACAGCAGCTTCATTTTTTAGGGAGATTTGATAACAAATTCTACTTTCCTTTTTTCAAAATATTGCACCTTAAATACATAAGCTGACTTGACTGAGAGAGATTTCTTAGTGCATTGTTTGTTAAACAAACATACACTGATCTCATTTACCTCCTGTCGCTATCCTTTCCATCAGGAATCTAACCCTTACCCCCGGCACTACCAGCACCATACCAAAGACAACGCATTCATCAGGACCTCAGCTCTAAGAGGACGGAGGATGGCAGGAGGTGTAAGGAGGAACACAGGGATGGGAAATCGACTGGGGTTATATGTGACGTTTTGGGCAGTGAGTGTGTTAATGGGAGCTGATCTGAGCTGGCTGGGCCTGAAAGAGCGGGTTGGGGTCAACGCCCAGAACAATGAGAGAAGGGTATTGGCACATATACCTGGTGACATCATTATAGGAGCTCTGTTCTCTGTCCACCACCAACCACCTGCAGACAAGGTACGTTCGCGTGTGTGTGCTCATTTTCTCCATGTGTGCATATGTGATAAATGTTAGTAATCCAGTTGTGTTACACTTCGCTCAGGTCCACGAGCGGAAGTGTGGTGCGGTGCGTGAGCAGTATGGGATCCAGAGAGTAGAGGCCATGATGCACACTCTGGATCGAATTAATGCAGACCCCACGCTCCTCCCGAACATCACCTTGGGCTGCGAGATCAGGTCAGAAACCAATCACAAAAGTTTGTTTTTATAAAGCAATGAATTGTTTTATATCTTTACTGTTGTATTATGGGTAGGCGTTATTGACACAAAGAAGAATTTTGATAGAAAAGAAGAGCTAACTTGCAACCAATTACGGCTCATTATAGTTTGATGATATGATACCCTGAGGTTTGGCATCGAACATTACTCCTTTGATATACCATGTGTACAATCTTCAGATAGGATGGAATCAAATCAACCAAACTACCAGCCTCACAAACAACCAGAACAACTGCCTGAATTTAGCAGAACGAGCCAATTACAGGACAATCATCACCAATTAAATGCAATGTAAAAAACTGATGCACTTTGGAAAGGCTTGTTATACAAATTGCACTGCACTTTTTTTCAATGTCCAATCATTCAAGGAGGATGAAGGATTTTACCGGTCTCTAAAAAGTAGAAAAAACAGCTTTGATTGTTGGCACATGTAGATTGTTTCTTAAATCAGACAACATTTAAGTAAGCAAAGTCAAATTTCTCTATGTTAAAGTTTCCTAATTTGGGTCCAACATTCCCAGTAAGACAAAGACAGATGGCATGAGTCCCTTTAAATGAGTGGAGGGTCTGGGGGAGGTGTTATTAGGCAGCAGGGGAGACAGACTGGAGACTTGAGGCAGCAGGCAAACTTCCAGGGAGAGTGTAACTGAAGAGGGATGGTTCTAGGCAGATGGGCAGTGGCCTGAGCATTAAGAGAAGACAGGTAACTTAAGAGTGCAGACAGTTATGTAAACCAGAGAGGAAGGTACAATAACCTGCAGTAAATCAGAATATCAGGCACTGACAAAAAAAAAAAAAAAATCAAACTTTTCCTCTCTGTGGAGGCTGTGAAGTGACCCCCGCCAAGCACAACTACACTTTAAGAAATGCACTGCTCTGGTTTGTACATAAGTTCAGCTGAAGCTAATATGAGGTTGATATTGTTGGTGTTGTGCCTTGTCAACAAATCTACAGGCGAACCAGGAAGTATCTCTCCGAGGGAGTTTTCTACTAAAAAGACTTTAGAACTTTCCAGCATACTGTGACTGACTCAGCCTGATGAAACTTCATATTAGCTTTGGCTGAACTTTGGATTGCAAACTTCTCACTGTTCTAACAATTGTCTTTGTCAAGTGGTCCATGAGGCACAGACTGTGCGCTTAAAAAAGGATCCAACTGGCTACTCTAAGCTATCCTCACCTCTTGTTCCCATCCTGCTTGCCAAAACAACGATGTAAACTCTATCTTTCTGCACCAGGGACTCATGCTGGCACTCCGCGGTGGCACTCGAGCAGAGCATTGAGTTCATTCGGGACACTCTAGTGTCCAGCGAAGAGGAGGAGAGCCAGGGCAAGTGTACTGCAGAGGCGGGGAGCTTGCTGGTTCAGGGGAAGAAGCCCATCGTGGGTCTGATCGGACCGGGATCAAGCTCCGTGGCCATCCAGGTGCAAAATCTCCTCCAGCTCTTCAACATCCCACAGATTGCCTACTCAGCCACTAGCATGGATCTCAGTGACAAGGTACGACAAAGTCTGAGACAATTTCAAACTTTAAACTTTCACATACAATTACATGGTAGCAAATATATATCCTGTGCAAAAAAATCCAGACAGTTACTGCTTTTGATGAAAATCAACTTCCAGAGCAACCTGACTTTTAATTGTATTATTTGCTATGACGACAATAAAATCAGACATGGTTTTCATTGCGATGGATAACTACTCTCAAAGGAAAATCTTCATAAAATATATGTCCCTTAATCCTCCCCTAAAATCAGATGGAAGTTGATGTACAGTGAGTGGTACAAGCAATGGGGTTTAAAGTAGGGACTGTTATGAATGCATGTGTGACTGGCAGTCAGGCTGTCAAATGAAAACATGCCAAGTAAACTGCCAGACGTGTGAACATGTAAATTCCTTCCAACAGAGCTTGTATAAATATTTCATGAGGGTAGTGCCATCAGATATGCAACAGGCCAGAGCCATGGTGGACATCGTCAAGAGATACAGCTGGAGCTACGTGTCTGCAATACACACAGAGGGTAAGACTGTGTGTGTGTGTGTGTGTGTGTGTGTGTGTGTGTGTGTGAGTGTCACTTGCAATCTGACATTTACCTTTTATCCCTCTGTCTCTCATCCTTATTTACACATCGATTAAGCAACATTAATGACATTTATACTGAGTTGCCAGTTAATCAGTCGCATCTGAACTCACTATTTTCATCTGTTACAATAGAGTGCAACAGTAATCATTGTTTTTTCCATGGGTCAGAAATGGAGAAACACATGTACCCGCGCTATTGTGTCTGTGCCTGACTCACTTCTTAGTTTCAGTTCTTAGTTTTGGAAGTTTTTGAGTTTTCTGTCCAAAAGGGGAGAAGAGAGGCATTATGCTATATTACTCATCGACATTCTGACATGCAATCAACCAAAGCTCAGCCGAATCATCATTTTTAGCATGCCTTTATACAGATACACACACACACACACACACACACACACACACACACACACACACACACACACACACACACACACACACACACACACACACACACACACACACACATTAAAGCAAGAAGTAAATGCCACATGCGTTACGTAACTCCCGTATAATGGCTCTGATTTTAGTCTGATTTTACAATGGAGGCCATTATATCTATGTCATGAATATGAAATTTATATGAAATTAGCTCTGCTTATATATTCTCTGTAATCCTGCTCATCACTGGCAAAGCTTCCCAGGGAACATCTGCCATCGGCTTTGAACTCTCGTGGCTCACGGTCCACTGATTTGAGTGACGCTTCAGCCACAGATCACATTCTCACAGCAGTTGCTCATAATCAGATTTGCATTTTATTACATTATTTTATTTATTTTTTATTGCCCTATCTATGTGTGACCAAAGCTCCTGAAGTTGAATTCAAATCAGCCGTAGTCGTAAATAGAGGGAGATAAAGTAGCACCTTTATTGTTGTTGTGGGCTGTGTGATGGATGGCTGCAATACAACAGTACAATTGCTTTATTTTACATTTTCTTTTTTTGTTCTTACCACAAGTAGTTGTTCCATATTTTATAGTGCAGATATAAGGCTGATCTCTTGCCTCAAAGCAACTCCTGTCCCCTTGCTTTGAACACCTAGGCAATATCAACACACAGGGGTTATCACCACTTCAACAGACCCAGCCCCTGAATCACTAATCCCACCTATTCAGTAACAAAAACACATGCTACTGGCATAATTCTCAATATCAGCCTAAATGAAAACTCCATACTGTCCCCATCATTTTGCAGCTTCTGTTTTACCCTCTTAGTGGCTCAAGGCCATTCTGTTTATGAAATAAATCCCTCTTGATAAGAATAAGTGCTAAATCCTTACTGGATTATTCCAGTTTATTCCATAAAAATACCAAACTGTTGTAGAGGAGGATTTAAAACAAAGGGACTTTTTTGTGCCAAATGTTGTTTTGCAGGATAAAACCTCATGTATCTCTTATTATAAAAATAAGACATAAGTTTTTAACAGTTATGCTCCAGACTATATCGCTTGTGTTTTTCAGGCACAGTAGACAGTGGGATGTTGTCAAAATTATGTATCATTCTGTGTATGTTATTACACACACACTTCACTTATTGAATCTGACATTACCAAGACAGTCACGTACGAGTTCACTAACTAGCAAGGAGACAAGTGAACAAGGAAATATACATACGGTGCAAAATTACCCAGCATTTAATGTGCTGAAGATTTTCTGCCAGACTCTGTTTTTGTTTTTTGGGTTTAGAATCTCTTTGAATGGTTATTAATATACCGCACATCCTTGGAAGTCCGAAAGCACAATTATAACACCCTAACTGTCAAATTCAGGTGCACCTTGCTTGTTCATCTGCATGATATTTGCATAAATTAATGACAAGGGTTATGAGCCAGTACATGATATGCGAGTGGTATAATTCTTTAAAGACATCTCAAGACAAGAGATGCAGGAATTCGATATCCACTGTAGCTTCAGAGGTTATAGTTGTGCATATGAAACAGTACGGCTCAACCTACTTTCCATTGCATTTTGCAACAAACTAATTCTTATTTACAAAAATTGGCCACACAAAATGTAAAAAACCCTATTTGAGATTTAGATTCTCATTTTTTACGCTTTGCTTGTGTTTTATTAATATTTATTATGATATATTTGCGATTTTAAGCACCAAAAACGTTTTCAATCTAGTTTTACATCTCCTCTCCCGGGCTTCTCTCTGGAGCTCTAGCAGCAATAGATGGGTCAACTAATCTGAAGAGAGGCTCTGAACCTCTCTTCTGATTGGCTGATTGTTTTCTGAGTGATCGAATAAAAAATATATAGCAGATTTCAGGTAATTATTCAGAGAAACCAAATCCTGCAAGGCTGGATGGTGGGTCCAGTTGAGCTGTGCTGGGGGCACAGCTTAGGGCGGTGACTGCTTTGTTGTGACATCACAAAGTTACAGAAGTCCTGACAGCTTGTTTTAAGGCTCAGTTTCTGAATACAGCCCTGTGTGTCCCTCTCTGTGGACTGAGGCTTTGATACCTTCACAGAATTAATATAGGACCTAAACCTGCTTTATAGTCAAAAAAGACATGGACATCTCACTTTATACAATATGGGACCTTTAAAGAATAACATAAAGTGATTACAGTGAAGACCGAAATCATCATCATCAGGGAGTTGAATGGAGGTTAAAGTGGGAGTTTAACAAATAAAAGATTAGACTAGATTAGATTATCACTGACATGCCACATATGGGAGTCAAACTCACACGTATTAATGAAAAGGATGCCTCAAACAGTGCCATGCTCAGAGTGAGATCATACTTGCAAAGCAACAGAAACTGGGTGACCTCATTTCCAGCAAAAACAGAGAAGTCTCACCCCTGACAGTTCCCATAACAGGGACTGAATTACCAGATTCTCAAGTGTTGTGCTGCATTACACCAGTGGATTTGACTGTCTACACCCTGTGCGTGTGTTCTCTGTGTTCATATCACAAGATGATGCACGAGCATTTGCAACCAGAGTGAAAGTGTGAGGAGCAAAACGTTAGAAACAAATGTTTGCACAACATTACAATGTGAACAAAGTGGCCGGTTATTTAATGCAAATAAATACATAAAAAAAGTAACTGCAAAACATCTAGTTAAAGAATGAGTTAAAGTTTTTTGTCACAGTCTACTCTGCTCACTTTGTTAGCTTTAATTAGGCTTTGTGTGTACAGTATTGTGTGCATATAAACAACATTCCGTTTGTGTGGTCCCATTTACAGGTAATTATGGAGAGAGCGGCATGGAGGCATTTAAAGACATGGCAGCAAAGGAGGGACTCTGCATCGCCCACTCCGACAAGATCTACAGCAACGCAGGTGAACAGAGCTTTGATAAGCTACTGCAGAAACTACGTGGCCACCTGCCCAAAGCCAGGGTTGTGGCCTGCTTCTGCGAGGGCATGACGGTGCGAGGCATACTGATGGCCATGAGGCGACAACGCCTGGTGGGAGAGTTTCTGCTGCTTGGAAGGTGAGTGGTGGATTGTGGTGTGTGGAATAATGAGTGCATTTCTTACCACTGGGATTTTTTGCTTTTACCATAGAGGCTAAAGGAACTGATTGAAACATTTGTGCTTCATGTTCCTTAGTGTTGTGCATTCATTTTCAATCCAGACTTTCTTCAGATATCCAACAACATCATGATCATCCTCTCATCATCATCCTTATTATCATCTTCATCACATCCATCAACTTCATGGTGGTCTAAGAAATTCAAGGTATTTTTTTAATTACCTTTTTTTGTATATACATGACAATGACACTATGCCGTAAACTTTTATGAGACTATCAAGATCCAGATTCATCCAGGTATTTATCTTCTAAATTAGATTTACTTGATACTATTTTTATGTCCGGTCTGTTTCAATACACTTGTTGCTATTATTGAAAAAAGCTAAGTCAGCTGACGTTGTTTGTATTTTCCATTCCCTAACAATGTTTATTCATGCCGATGTTTTATTGAAGCAACAAGGGGTCGTCTGCAAGCCCCCCAAAAAATGACAACTCCCTAAAATCTGAGGCTCCATATAGAGAAATACAATTAATGAATCCTAAATCAATATTAAGTAGTAGGCTTGAATGACATGCAAAAAAAAAAATCAAATTGGGATTATTATGGCAGTTATTGCGATTACAATTGGAATAGTCATTTTGCATTTTCATTTTCACCGAAAAAATATAAAAATGATGATAATATGATTTTTGTTGGGGCTTGTTCCTTTACGTCTGGAGAATATGAATTGTAGGCCAGGGCATCTCTGGAGCTCCGTATGCTTCGTTTATGGTAAATTGTGACACTATTGATCTTTTTGAAAAAAAAAAAAAAAAAATTGCAGCTCCTGGGATTTTGCACTTATTACATTGCCATATTGCAATTTCGATAATATTTCGATTAATTGTTCAGCCCTATTAAATGGTATCATATTGTTATTGTCATGGTCACAGCAGCAAACAACTCAGGAAAATTAAGTATAGCTGGCAGCCATATAGAGTGAGCAAAGGTCACCAAAATAAAGAGACAAGTTATTAGATAAAGCAGTGATGGCCCTCCAGAATGATTAACTATGCAGCATCCCGCTCCATCCGAAATCACAAATTAAACCAATGACATTAGCTGAATTTTCTCTCAGGGATGTATCACCTCTTCAAATTCTGCATATTATGGATTAGGTCACTGAGGTTAATATAGGCACAGAAAATCTTAACAGCTGGGCACAAGGTGCAGGAGATAACGTATGCAATTAAAAACATGAGGGAAAAAAAAAATAAGCGGGAAAGAGGGGGTTGATGTAGCAGGAGGTTTCACTCTCTCCGAGAATAACGTTTTATTTTAAGGTTTAGCTCTCTGGCTCACTCTCGTCCCTGGTGTTCTATAAATGCCTTTCCTCATTAGGAGCCACATATGTAGGCTGTCGCTCAAACCTGACAGCAGGAAACATAAAATAACCTTGAACTACATATTGCAAAAAAAAAAAAAAGAAAAAGAAAAAAAAAAGCTCTTTAATGCATATTACCACACAGAGCGGCCAGACAGGTGTGGTGTTGTCAGCTCATTATTAAAAAAGATAGTTAATTTTTGTTAAGATCTCCTTGCTGTTCTGTTTTGAGGGTAGGCTAATTAGATTTGAGATGCATTGTTGAGGAGGTGGCACATTCATGACTCATTTTAATGCATATACATTCATGCAACCATACGTGAACATACGCCTAGCGCACGCCCGTGTGTGTGTGTGTGTGTGTGTGTTATGTCCTTCTTTAACATCAAGTTTTTGACCGCACTTCATTGGCTTCATCGCCGTTCTTGTTATTCTAGTTAGTTAATCCTGTTCATGTCAGCCTGGAGGATTTGTCACCAGGTTTGTGTGTGTGTGTGTGTGTGTGTGTGTGTGTGTGTGCAGTGCATTCTTAGGATCCATTTATAGAAAGAGAGAGACCAGATGAGAGAGCAGATGATGTATTTTTTTTTTTTCATTTACCAGCACTGCTTAAACCTATTTTGAACGGTTGTATCCAAACCGCTGTCTGTCTCCAGCCTGTTTATATAGAAATTGATGGAGAAATGAAGATTGTTGTATAATATATATATATGGGAATGGGCTTACTTATTTTATGTGGGGCAAAAAATCACAAATACAATTCCTCTCTCTGTTTTTGGACACACAAGTGGCATGGGTCTGAGGATGGTGCTGTCACTCTGTGTCACATGGTCGACCACTTTGGTCAGACTAAATTCTCAATAACCATTGGATGAATTGCTTTGCAATAATGCACATTCATTGGATGAATCCTGACTTTGCTGACTTTTCTTTTCTTTGTTGTTAAAGATTTGCACTGAACACTTCAAATTTATGTCCATAATACCTGCAAACTGACATTCCCACCACTTCAGCTTTGCATTTAGTGCTAATTGGCAAATGTTTGCATGCTAACATGTAAAACTAAAGTGGTGAATGTTGTAAGCAATATACTTGCTGAACATCATATGCTAGCATTGTCATTGTGAACATGTTAGCATGTAGCTCAAACCACCACAATGCCTTTGCGGCCTCAGAGAGCTGCTAGTGTTGCTGGAAACTCTCAGTCTTTCACACATTTAGCGCAAATCTCCTGCACTGGAATAAAACAAATTCAAAAGCTCTCTTCACACATCGTTATTCAAGTCTTTCATCTCAAAGTAGAAACGGTTTTAATCAAAGTTAAATCCATTTATCACATCTTTGCTTTGTTTTGAGTCAGTTCAAATAGCCTACTACTAATTACTGCTGCTACTAATTGGAAGTTTTCTAAGAATTTGAGTCAGTAGGTCTATATAACAGAGGAAAAGTCAGACACCAGGACTGTAGTAGAAGTGTGTTATCCTTTACTCATATCCATCCTATCCAATAATCCAAATCCAAATAATTTCCACCGATCCTGAAAATCTGTTGCAGGTAGTTTGGTCTGACTTTGCGTCCTTACTTACCTTTGCCTGCTCTGCCACAATCCTTGTCACTGCTATCTCTCCTTATCGGCCTTGGGAGGATACAGACAGTTTATCAGAGGTGAGGTACAGTGTGGCAGTGCCTTCACACAAGCGCTCCAACAGGCTACTCGGAGTGCTAGAAAAAGCAACATGATCCCCTACTGGCTTCCAACCTGTAAATACTGCCATTTGTGAGCACCTGACTGAGCTGGAAACACAGGTCATGGGAGTGTTTTTTCCTCTGTTCTGTTCAGATGGCTCTTTCACTTTTTTCTTTTTTCTCTTGTCTTGTTCAGTTTCATTTTAGTTTCCAGCCTGAAGTTGGTCCCACTACAGGGTTGTAAAGTGTCCACTCAGAAAAGATCTGGCTGGAAAGTTGACCAGTTTATTGCCAGATGAGGTGAAATAAGAGCACAATGTATGTGTGCGTGCGTGTGTGTGTGTGTGTCTTCAGGCTTGTAGGTGGTGCAGCAACACGCTGCATACAGCATATTGCCCTCACAGGTCGATGTGTGGGTTTCAGAGCTCTCGTTCAAGAGTGATTCAAACTATCCAGAGTCAAAGCCCTCCATGCTTTTCATATCCATTCCTGCCTTTTTTATGCCAGTGTACCATTTCTGTGCTCGCTTCTCTAAGGATGTGTTATGAAATGATCTCCTACCTCACCCAGAGAACCAGGCATCATAAAAAAAAATCCACCCACACTACTGTTGTGTAACTCCAGCTTGGTTAGCGAAGTTTTCAAAAATGACTTCTTTTGCTTTTTTTCTCTCTCCGTCGGTTAGAAAGAGAGGAGCTTGTTTCTTTGTGTCAGTGAGGCTTGTGTGTTTACATGTATGCACATGTGTGGAGGTGTGATCAACCTTCTGTCTTTGATGATTGTAGACAAGAGGGGGAGATATTAATAGATGGAGTAGAAAGCTTTTTTAAACAGTTCACTGATGAGATGGCTCTTTGAGTCCGAGCCCACAGTGTTTTTGAAATAAATAGCAGATCAGATGTGTCTGCAGACGCAGCAGTCTGGTGGTGTTTGTCTGCAGTTTATTGAGCAGCATCAGGTGTTTTTTTTTGTTACTATAATCAGAAGGTGTTGCCTTCCTGCGGAATGAAAACGATAATGAATCACTTATATAACATTTCTAAGTTGCAAACCTAACTTTGTCAGAATTAAAAATACATTAACAGATTGGTTCACACATACAGCATGATTCCTGCAAAGCAGGGCTTCTATCTGCAATTAGATATTTGCTCCTGTTGGTAAAGTCAAGCAAATCAATATGCTCTTCATTACAAGAGTGTCTCAGTGGACTTCGCAGATAGTGAGCCTACAGAGATCTAATTAATCAGCAGCCAGACACAAACTTTACTAACAAAGTTATGCGACTGTGGAAGTGAAACCTACAAAACAAAGCATACAACACAAAACAACATGCTGGAGAAAAAAAAGACACAATCGTACATCCCTGAGAGGTTTAATACAAGTTATCTTTGCACATGAACATAATTAAAATTTTTCAGAATTCTTCAACTTGGATATGTGAGCAAATACTTTTTTTTTTTTTTATCACCCAGTGAGTCTGGTGTTGCTGCATCTGAGTCATCATGATAATTTTTTCTTTCTTCTGTAACTCTGCAGAGCAAACATTAGGTTCACTTTATAAGACACCACCTGCCACCTTCAATCTGTGCAACAGTGGTGTCAGAGATACTCACAAGCACCAACTGCAGCTTTTTACAGCTGGACACATTAAAAAACCCAATGCCATCATGGAGTGTTATTTGTCTTTATAAAGCCATTACAGTAATCTGTCGTACTTGTGTATTTCTGAAATATTTTTGCCTTAAATTGTTTTTTCATTTGAGCTTATGTTGGGTGTTACTGTAACATTTGCTCCCTGGACTGCTGAGCTGGGCTTTTTCAAGATGTCAGCCCCGCCTTGATTGGGTGTAAGGGTGAACCAAGTTCAAGGCTGAGCGGAGAATCCCAGTGTATAAATGCAGTTTTTTTGAGGAAGTGGAAGCTGTTCCTTTGTCTTGTTTCCACCCATCACCTCTGATGTGATGCTAAATTTCTAGGTTCACTTGCCTTTGTTTACATTCACATTTACTCATTTGGCAGACACTTTTATCCAAAGTGACTTACAAGTGAGGCCACTTACAAGCTTCAGTGCAGTTGGAGACCTTGGTCTAAGCACTTAGTATTACATCTATTCAATAAGTATCAGGTGAAGAAGTGCACCGAAAGTGCACAGTAAGTGCTAGTTGGGCATGATAGCGTGTTACAGCTGCTCTCAGAAGAGATGAGTTTTCAAGAGGTTCTTGAAGATAGAGAAGGACGCCCCTGCTCTGATAGCCATCTGTAGCTTGTCTCTATTGTAGGATAATTGTCAGTGTAAGTTGTGGCTGTTTATCATTTGTTTTTCCAGCATTGTGTCAGGTTTACCAGCTGTTCCTTACACATAACAGACAATTTTCCACAAATCAAGCTGAGGTGACAGAGCTGAAATCAGACCTCAAATCCTTGTGTGGGTTGCAATATTGAGCAACAGTTTCCAAATGTTTAAATTGTATGTATAATACAATGTACTGATTATGCTGAATTGTGTCTTCACAAGATTTAGAGAGTTTTTCTTCAGAAAAATGTGTGTACAATACATAGACTTTCTCTTTTTGGCATCAATCCTTACTCTAACTAACAACCTGCCGTACCTTTGTCTGGTTCTACCTTTCTCCTCCTCCTGCGCAGTGACGGCTGGGCGGACAGGTACGATGTGACTGATGGCTACGAGAGGGAGGCAGCTGGTGGAATCACTATAAAGCTGAAGTCTGCGTATGTGACCTGGTTCGACGATTACTACCTGAACCTGAAGCCCGACGCCAACCCGAGGAACCCCTGGTTCCCCGAGTTCTGGCAGCACCGCTTCCAGTGCAGGTTGAGGGGACACCCGCAGGAGAGCGCCATGTACAACCGCACCTGCACCTGTAAGTACAACACAGAGATCCTGCTCCACACGTCTCCTTATAATCTAGTCTGTGTATCGCTGTGAATTTAGAGAAACAGGGATCAGAGTGATTGGGTTTCTCCTCATGAGCAGGTCTCTGTTCTCCACAGGGAGAGAGTCTCTGCGTCATCAGTACGCCCAAGACACCAAGATGGGCTTTGTCATAAATGCCATCTATTCCATGGCTTACGGCCTGCATGCCATGCAGCAATCCCTCTGCCCAGGATATAAGGTATGATAGTGAACAGTGCTCACGTTTGTGTGTTTTCACATCAGTCGTGACGGCATCAACTGTGTTTGCTCCTCCCCAGGGTTTGTGCGAGACCATGCGGCCCATTGACGGCCGCAAGCTGCTGGACTTCCTGATGAGAACCAACTTTACCGGCGTATCTGGGGAGACCATCCACTTTGACCAGAATGGAGACTCGCCTGGCAGGTAATATTATGGTGGGGGAGAAGGGGGGGGGGGGGGGGGGGGCGGTGAAGGGGGGGGGGGGGGGCGAAATCAAGAAGCAGACAGAAATATTTAATGTGTGCATATGCTGTTTCATGTGTGCCTCAGGTATGAAATCATGAACTTCAAGCACATAGGCGAGGATGAGTACGCTTACATCCATGTGGGAAGCTGGGATCAGGGTGGCCTGAAGATGAACGATGAGGAAATCTGGAGTAACAACAGTGACATCATCCAGTCAGTCTGCTCTGAGCCCTGCCAGAAGGCACAGATCAAGGTGCGAACCACTCCAGTGAACAAAATTTAAAGTTGTTGAGATAGATGTGCTTTGAAATCAACAAGCTATATTTAATTTCTTAAAATCTTAACAGTTTTTTAATCATTTAAATAACAACAAATGTGGCAACTCTATCTGCCTTTTTATTTGCTCGCAACAACAGCTATAAATGATTTAAATTCGAAGACTACATCATATCACGTTGTATATCACAGAAATCCAATTCAGAAATTCAGTTTTCGCTAATGTTGGCAGCTGTTTCCGTCATGATCTCCCTCCAAAATACGTGGTTTCATGCACCAGAGAATATATCATAGTTCTGCTGAAGAAAACTGCCAAGCAAGACCCACACAACAGCCTTAAATTGATCCCACAGGATTGTAATCTACAAAATCGTTCCAATCGGATCCTTGAGTACCCCACCGGGGACTCTGCAAACCTCTTTGTTCAGGCTTTAATCATCTCCCATCTGGGCTTCTCTGACTCCCCTCAGCCTCTCCAAATCATGGAGAATAACGCAATCTGCCCCCTCATTATCATCCCAAAAGTCTCTAACATTAACCCCCCCCCCCCACGCACTCCACACTGACTCCCTGTAAAGTGGCGACTTGAGGAGAATTCAAGACTCGCGCATGAGGTTTTGAGGATCTCTGCATGCCCGCACTTTACCTCCAGGCCTTACACCCCCGCCCACTCGCCCGGCTCTTTCTGCCCCCACTCTGTTCCCTCTCCTCTCAATCAGAGCAGAAAAGAGTCCGTACTGTACTCATGTCATCTGGTTCTGCCAGGGTTATATTGTTATCTATTATATCACCGAATAATTATTACTGACTCATTCATTTGTAAACAGTATTAGGAGGAGGTGGAACTGATCATAGCTAGGTTATATACTGATATAAATATCAGATGAGATTTGAACATTGAATTTTCTCTATGTGAAGTAACCAACCACTGTCCCACCATGCCTCCACTTTCCTGAGTTCATTTTCCACCATAAACACCACTTCTACCCTGAAGGGCTGCTAAGGCAAAGTAGTGAGGCTCATTGAGATTCCATACATCCTTCTTCTTCTTCTGATCCCCTGACGAAGAAATACTCATTTCCTTGCTTACAGGGCAGTCAGAGTGGAAGATTAGCTACAGGAAAGTGCCATTGGAGCTTTGAGACCTTTCCGCCCTTTCATACTCTGGTGTGTGTGTGTGTGTGTGTGTGTGTGTGTGTGTGTGTCTCCAGGTGATCCGTAAAGGAGAGGTGAGCTGCTGTTGGACCTGCACTCCCTGCAAGGAGAATGAGTTTGTGTTTGATGAGTACACTTGTCGAGCCTGTATCCTGGGCTCCTGGCCCACAGATGACCTCACTGGTAAACACACTTTGTTTATGTCTCTCTTACTTGCAAATGCGTGATTTCCAAACAGGCCCTGAATCTGGGTCACACACTGAGAGTGCAGCCACCAATCCCCTTTACATCTTACCTACCACACAGACCACAAACACCCCGAACTAAGACACTCTCTACTGCGCAGAAATCACCACAAATACTCATGTACCACACATACCCACACATACACACACACACACACACACACACACACACAGACTTTAGATCCCTGCCAGAATACAGGATTTGGCTGAAGCTTAGATTTCTTAACACCAAAGTCTGTCAAAACTATTTGAAATCCTGCCCTTTTGTACATACTTATTATTTCCCACAATATTTCAGTTGCTCTGTGCTTTTGAAAAACACATGAAGCCTGTTTTTGATCTGTATCCTCCAGAGCAGGGAGGCAGTGTGTTTATCCTGTTATCATTCTATTCTATCGCTCTCTGATCTCCCTCTTCTTCCTCTTATCTTCCTTACAGATCCCTTAATTGTTTCACAACACATTTACCTAATCTCTCATGACCCCACTCTATCATAGACTGAAGGTTTTACACATAATTACAATTACATTCACAGTGAATAGTGTGAATCAGTCTCACAGAGAAATCAAAATGTTGCTTGAACTTTTCCCATGTGTTGTTTTTGCTCACTCCCTGTCGCCTCTCTGTGTCCCCGAGGTTGTGAGCCAATCCCGGTGCAGTACGTGCGTTGGGGGGATCCAGAGCCCATCGCTGCAGTGGTCTTCTCCTGCCTGGGCCTCATGGCTACACTTTTTGTTACTTCTGTCTTTATCAAGTAATTATAGCCTCCAGCTTTACCAGCCATGCACATACAAACTAAAAAGCACTGGGTCAATAAACCACTTTACTCAGTATCCACTGGTAGTAAACCACCCAAGACCAGGGGCTGTTCTGACCTAGTGTTAATGTTAGTTTTTTATATACATGTTGGTTATTTACTCAAAAATAAAATATGGTACGGTTGCAAACTGTTATACTATACTGAAATACTCTCTTTTAACTTCAACATTTGTCTTAATAACACACTGTTTATATCCTTTGCAGCTTTGTTTTTTACAACTAACTGGAAATTTGTGACAGTTTTAAGGCAAAACTTGAGCTTGTTGTATTTAACACTGGGTCAAAATAACCATAGTTTAGTTTGGAGTAAATAATCCAACATTAATGTAAAAAAATAAGTAACTAATCCCATTGGTAGCCTACTAGGAAAATTGCTATAAAGTAAATCAAAACTGGTTTGTTACAGTTGTAGGATACTCTTAGCAGTTGTGTGAATCTGCAGCCGTTGATATAATTGAATTTGTCTGTAGATTTTGGGACACACCTGTGGTCAAGTCATCCAGTCGTGAGCTCTGCTACATCATCCTGGCCGGAATATGTCTGGGCTACCTGTGCACCTTCAGCCTTATCGCCAAGCCCCACATAATCTACTGCTACCTCCAGCGGCTGGGAATCGGCCTGTCCCCGGCCATGAGCTACTCCGCTTTGGTCACCAAGGTATTTTCTTTTCTGCTTTTGTTGCCAGCAGGCAGAGGAACAAATAGCTTAATGTTCAAGCTTCACTTCCTGTGAAACTCTTGAGTCAACGCCATGTGGTTCGATCATCAGCTTCATTTCTATTAAACTCTAAAATGCCACTGAGGTGCGACTATTCCTCAAAGTGAAAAGTCATCTTTACCCCGTCTCTTCCACTTGAATAGAAGGTTCAGAAATTGAGCAGAACAAAGCTGCAAAATGTTCACTGACGGTAGCTGCTGAAGATGATGACCCTTTGACATAGCAAGGGTATATTTACCTGTCTAATTTCACCTTTGATGGACAACTTGTCCACTATCACAGTCCTGTGTTTTCAGCATAAACAGAAGGGCATCTGAGGATAAGAGCAGGAGTAAAAGAGCTACCGCCAGAGATTGGCTGATGGCCAAGTGTAAGGGGAGGTATGGGAGAAGTTGAGGATCTGTGTGTGTGGGCTGAGGTTGATGTTTAAGATCTGGGAACCAAAAAAAGGGGATTATTGTTATGAATCAGTGCGAGCGGTGTTATCCACAGTCGATGTAAGTGACGCCTGCATAACCACTTCCATCTATTTTTGATCCAGACCAACCGTATAGCGCGGATCCTGGCAGGCAGCAAGAAGAAGATCTGCACCAAGAAACCTCGCTTTATGTCCGCCTGCGCACAATTGGTCATCGCCTTCCTACTCATACTGCTGCAGCTGGGGATTATTGTGGCACTTCTTATCATAGAGCCACCACAGGTATGTGTCTGTGTGTGTGTGTGTGTGTGTGTGTGTGTGTGTGTGTGTGTATCTTCCAGTGTGGGGGATTTTAATTTACACTTAAGTGGAATGACCTCTCCCTTTGTCTCCTCTTAGGTGATCTATGACTACCCAAGTATCCGTGAGGTACACTTGATCTGTAACCTGACCACTCTGGGGGTGGTGGCGCCGCTGGGCTACAATGGCCTGCTTATCCTCAGCTGCACCTTCTACGCCTTCAAGGTACTTCAGCATAACATTAGTTAATGATGCACAGGCTGTCCCATTATACTTTCACAATAAGGGTATATTTTTCTGACTTTACTTTTCTTCTTCTTTTCAATTCTGTTCTTTCTACCTCAACTTCCACCGCTTAAAAATCATATTCCTCCCTTTCTCCGACAGACTCGTAACGTGCCAGCTAATTTTAATGAGGCCAAGTATATTGCCTTCACCATGTACACCACCTGCATCATCTGGCTGGCCTTTGTCCCTATTTACTTTGGCTCCAACTACAAGATCATAACCATGTGCTTCAGTGTCAGCCTCAGTGCCACAGTGGCTCTCTGCTGCATGTTTGTCCCAAAGGTACGAAATGGAAACACACACTCCTACACAAGCAGAGTTTGAATGTTAGCGTCGTTTTTTGCTTCCCTACATCTTTACACTAATAGATATTTGTCGCTCATTTTCATCGACAGGTGTACATCATGCTCGCCAAGCCGGAGAAAAATGTCCGAAGTGCTTTCACAACATCCACAGTGGTGCGCATGCATGTAGGTGATGCCAAGAAAGCTGCCAAGACTGGCAAGCCCTCCAGCAGCATGGCCAACTTGTTTCGACGCCGCGGCTCTGCACAGGACGACATCAGGTATATAGGGGACCAAAGTAGGTATTAAGCTATGAACAAATGAACTCCTCTTTATTGAAAACACATGTGCCAGTTGGATAAAGGCTCTGAAACACTGAGTTAGTTCTGGTTAAGTGTATATGAAAAATCTAAACTCAGGTTATGTCCTTAGGGAAAATAAAAAACATTCAACTACATTTTGAAGTCTTTATTTTGTTTTCTCCTGATCTCTAAAAGCATTGAAAATAAGGGAAAATATTAAAGGTACCACAATATCAGCTTAAAGATGTTAAAGTTCTTGTTTTCCCAGGATAACTGTGAAAATGTGACAGCAGAGTGTTTTGAGACAGTCAAAACCTAAGACCTTATATTATGCATGGACTCCTTCAGAATGGATCTATTTAGATTATGTTTATTTTACACTATGTATGTGGCATATTTCTTTGGCATTTTCAACAACACAAGCCTCCTCTAATGAGTCCATTTTGGCCTCCATTTTTGCTGATTGCTGCCAGATAAGGATAATAATTATGCTATAGAAATACCTGCAAAGATCATGTAATCAGGAAAAATACAGCACATGTTTTTACGGTAGAGACCGCACACTCCCCTAAGGACTATATTTCTAGGACTCTAAGCTGCAGAGAGGAAGGGACGTGGCAGACTGGTGGTCTAACGCAGCCATATACATTAGTTTAGCTGTTTCTGCCCATGAGTCAACGTATAAAAAAATGAAAGCTCTGCTGGATCCAACAGGCCGGATGTGAAGCTGAGAAAAAACTGCTCCCTGAACTGAGAAAAGGTTACCTCATTTGGGTTAAGTACTCCCACAGGAGACCCGCTGCCTTTAAGGATTTCTCTTTCTAGGGAAGATAAAGGAAAATGGAGGAAGATGTAAAATTACACACAGGGTAGCAGATAGAATGGGGGATGGTAGAAATACTTACAATAAGAAATAGAACATGGACCTCAGGGTAGATGGATGAGCTTCTTTTCTCAGTGTTATACTAATATCTGCCATTATGCGCACAGTACATACATCTCGTGGATCTTTCACATGTATTATCAAATTTAAAGCAAAATTGCTAAGTCAGCTGAAAGCTAATTATTCTGTGCTTCTCTGTTTCACAGTTCCAATGGGAAATCAATGACTTGGGCGCAGAACGAGCGCGGCTACAGACCGAACCTGTGGAAAAGGATGTCATTCCATGTCAAGAAGAAAGACACAGTGGAGGCAAACCAGACAGCCATCATCAAACCCTTCTCTAAAGGAGGAGATATACCTGCGGACACTGCTGTCAAAGAGCACTACGAAGAGCCTCAGGTGTCTCAGCCCTTCACCTGCTCGCCTCCTGAATCTCCTCTAACCACCATCAGCCAGCATGCAGCCAAGGTGAGGGGTGTCCAGGGAGGAGAGGATGGAGAGGAGCTGCAAGCTTTAGCCACCTTTGTACCTGAGCACGCTGCTGGGGTCAGAAGAAGAGGCGGGGACAACGGCCAAGGTGTCGGTATGGTGGATGGCGGGGACATCAGCGTCATACCTGTAGGCGTGGGTGACATCGGCACAGGGATGATTGGGGGGCAAACTCAGGGCACCACCATCATGGACCAAATCAGCTGCGTGGTGAACCGCTTCACCGCCAACATCAGTGAGCTCAACACCATGATGCTGCCGGGGGGAGCCACCGTCAGCCCCAACTCCACCACCGCTTTGCCTGCAGCTGCGGATGCCGCCCCACCTTGCCCTCCCCAGTTCCTCACATCCAGGAACAGACAGGCCCCCTCCACTGTCACCACGTACGCTGAGGTGGCGGCTGTTTCCAATTTCTGCGAGAATCGACCAGCGGGTAAGATTTACGAGCACCTGGCCGGGACTTGCGTGAGTAGCAGACGAGCCAAGGATATGGAGGAGCTGGTGGCTCTGACGCCCCCCTCCCCTTTCAGAGACTCATCGCTGAGCTCCAACGGCAGCTCGCCCCCCTCGCTGTCCCCGGCCTCTGAGGCTGAATATGACCAGCTGCTGCTGAGACACTACAGCCAGAGCTCCTCTTCTCTCTAAACCTGCTCTCTCTGCACCCCCCCTTGTTTATCCTCTAATTGGAGAATTTTAAACTCCAAGAGACAAAAGTTTCAAACTGGACCAAACTTGGATGCCTTTCTACACATGGATATTCTGAATGTTTAAGCAGTTTTTTTTTAAAATGTATCTTCATTTTCAGATTGGATTGAATGCACCCACACATGCCTCCAATGTAAGAAAAGTATCACTGGCAAGACTGAGCAGTGTCAGTGATTCATCTCTTGTCTCTAAGCGAGTAAGAAACTTGACAAACTCAAACACACATGGGCATTTTACAGACTTTTTTTTATGTTTCAATGCTATACTGACACAGGTTGCTAACTCAGTTTTAAACTTTTCAAATTCCAAAGAAAATATTGATTCATTATCAAATAGTTATCAATCAAAAGTGGAGGAAATTTACCAAATACTTATGTTCAGTGGCTGAAAACGGCTCATATATTGAATCTTGGAATGACATTTGATTTTTTAGGTAAGTTCAGGTCTTAGGACACAAAATAGTTGTATTTCAGTTGTATATTTTGCATCATCTATTATCATAAACACAGAAAAGGTGAGTTGTTTTTATTGCTTATATTATTGCTGTTGCATTCCTGTACATGTGATGGTTTTTGTTACTGATAGATTGCCCTATCCTTTGATATTCTGAGACTCACCTGAAAGGTCAAACATGACACATTTTTACCTAACCTCCAATTTGTTGTCCATGCTGGAGGACATAGGTATTATTTGTATCCCGGCGCTAAAGGACAAAAGTGTAAAGATGCTGCATTATGCAAATCAGGGAGACATGTTTTTTTCAATTCGTGGAGGTTTCCCTTTTCTTGGACAGAAAACATTTACCGAGAGGACAGGAGCTCTTATACATCTCAAGGGAATGTAAGACATTTGTCTCAATGGACACAATGTCATCAGGTGTCTCACCCCACAAAGAGCTTAAGGACTACTTGGACTACTTCTTTAAATTCTCTTCTCTAGGTGTGACTGAATGTAAGAAAACCTGTCAGCACATGAAGGGGACCAAAATGATCTTCCACATCAGGATGTGTCTCAACCAAAATACTCTCTGAGCGCTGTCATCTGCTGGCTCTCACAATGTTTTCTTTTAGTTTGCATGTTGTCAAGATTTGTTTGCACTCTTTGAGTTTGTACTTTTTAATATTGCACATGTCGAACAGTTAAGATGAATAGATACAGTAGCAAGGTAATGATACTATTAGTGATTATTGATGTGTTTTTAAGATTTGTTTTAGGGAGGACAGAGGTGGACTGGATGTCTGCCAGACTTTTTCAGACATCTATTGCAAAACAGCTCGTTTCCAGTCTGACTTTTTACCTACATATGTGCCAATGTCTCCCTGCAGTAAATGACATTGTGTTTCTGTAAATGGGCTCACATTGAGAATCCTGCCCTGAGCTCATTTACATTCTAATCTCTCAAACACTTCAGGCACAGGGGGGATTTTATTTTTCTATAATATTTTATGACATTTTGACTATGTTATTTCTTATGCTTGAACATATTCAATGAATATTCATTTTTTAATTCTTTTTTTGGATCTGCATTTTGGCTTCTCTGATGATGTAGATGAATGATAGCATAGATTCACAAGCTTGCATTTTTTCAACTTCTAACTATGATGTAACTGATGATGGTCATGAGGGAGATAGCTTGTGATTGTTTAACAGATTATTTTGGAGTCTGTAAGTTTACACAGGCAGGAATGTTTTCATGTTTTTTGAAATGCGCAGTAATTAATTTTTTACTGGTTTTAAGTGTAAAAAAATCATCATGACAGTTGCCATATTTGCATGCAGGTTTGTGCTAATAGAAATTTTGCAGGTGCATACAATGCTTGATGCCAATAAGTCACTGATATAATCTACAGGAGACGTCTTATATTTTCACCTGCCTTTCAGATAGCCTGAATTTACTGTTTAAATTTGTGCTGCATTAAAGGTTTTCATCTGAAATTAAATTTTGACAATCATTTGTAATTCATAGCAAATGCTCCTTAAAATAGAAAACCTTCATTGCAATCATAGGAATAATTCTATATTTCACTTTTCTAAAAATGAAAAGTATAACTGCAGCTGGAAGAAAAGGCTTCAAAATGACTCATCATTATATTATAATACTATACCATACATCTTTATTTTCTAAGAATTAGAATTTAGGAATAGGAATTTCTTACCTAAATGTCTGTCATGTCGTAAAAGAGTCATGTTTTCAAACTGGATCGTGTGCAGCGTTATTTTTACACTTCCTGAGTTGATGTTACTTATGAACCTTCTAAGTTATTATCTTCTAAATAAGAAGATAATTGTGTCAAATCACTGTGCGATAATTAATAAAACAGGAAATAGGGTTTCTAGGGCATGCTTTATTAAATAACATAATATAATTTCCTATCCCGTAAATTATTAAAGCCCAAAATTGTGTGGTGAAATTAATAGTCACAAGATGGTGGACAAAGTTTATTCATAGTTAGAGCATATTAGCTCTAATGATGAGCCCAGGGAGGGAGTGAGGCCGCACTGGGCCAACTCATTGTTTATCACTGAAGTCTTATGATGGTATATGGTGCTATATTCATAGTCTTCCCTCACCGATATAAACACCATCAACAAATACTGAACATTTACTTAATGCTGAATCTAATTAGGTGTCAACTAAGTGTAAATTCTTCTTTACAGATCACTGCAGACAGTCAGTATACAGACATGCTTTCATATTAACTCATACAAACTGCATCTTTATCTGTTGCGTTTAATGCATGTGGGTTGGATTTGCAGGAACATATGGACCCTTGCAGTGTTAATCATCTCCGCTTTGGCAAACATGTATGTGTTGTTTAGGTGTGACAACAACCAATTCAGCATTATTGCATTTACCGTTTTGTGTCATGTATTGCTCCTACATATGATGCTATAGTCCATGTGTTGATTCCCTCAGCAAACAAGCACAGCTAAAATAAAACAGCTAAATATGTAAATCATGTGCTCAGTTCAAGCCAGGGTGCCAACCTGGCTGAAGATGCAGACTGAGTGAAGAGACTGCCAGCCTCTTTACACCTGTCCGTCTGTGTGAATGGACTAAAACTCAGAGCTCTGTGTTCCAGCTGGGAGATATACGAATACCAGGTCTGGGATTTGTTTGAAACAAGCAGGTGTGCTGCTTTATTTCTATAAATTCACTGAGTATTATCGTGTTATCATGTGGCTCTGATTTAATACAGAAAAGTTTAACACACTTCATATAACAGGCCTCAGAAATTGTGTAGAAAAGGCATATAATAGCATATTATAGTGGATGATGACGCCAGGGAAAACGTGCTTAAAATGTCTCAAAGGGATTGGAAGCCAGATATGGAAAGAATTTGACTGGAAAGTCAATAGGAGATTCCTCAGGACCCCACTGATTGTTTCTGCCTTTAAAAACATTTATATCAACAAATCCTGGAGAAACTGTGGTATGGTTGGGGACCATATCCATATATTCTGAGACTGCCTGAAAATACAGACATTTTGGAAAGCATCAAAGAAGAACTGGAGAAAATTCTGAAGAAGGACATCCCCATGGACCCATTACTGTTTATACTGGAAATACTGCCAGAACATCAATTTAATACAGATCAGTGTTACATATTGCATGTTCTGTTGAAGGTTGCAAGAAAAATAATTTCTTTCATCATGAATTGGATGAAGCCTAAGGATGAAGCCTAAGCCCAGCTACATCTACAGTTATCTAATTTTAGAAGAAGATGGGCACCAGTTATTGACTACCTCAGTTAGGAATTTTGTTCATTTCATTTAGGTGTATCTGTATATGTGTATATGTCTGTGTCAATATATTTGTATACATACATAAGTACATACACATACACATACACACACACACACACATAAATATATATATATATATATACCTCATGAATTTCCCCTAGGAGATAAATAAAGTAGCTATCTATCTATCTATCTATCTATCTATGTATGCACGTGTATTCAAGTGAAAGAATGTTTAGACACTTGTATGCATTTGTATGTGTATCTGTATAGAGGTATTTGTGTGAATGTTCTACTCTTGCAAGGTGCTATTCCAACTATTGTTTAGGTGCATATGTGTAGGGTGAAGCCCAATCTCAAGGTGGTTCTGACTGCTAACGTTGAAAATGGTAATAAAGTAAAAAAAAAAAGAAAAAAAAAGACATACTATGATAAGGAATAAAAAAGTCATAAAAATGTAATAGTATAGTAAGGCAGAAAAAGTCATAGAAACCACTAGGTATATTAAGGCATGAAATCGTCATACCGTCGTATCGTAGCCATAAAAAGTAATTGAATTCTATTCATAGCCTTTATTATGATTGTATAGTGTACAGCTAAATTGCATGTCTCGAGTAGTACATGCAGTCATACAATAAAACAACGTTCAATAACAAAATCCAGTCATATGAAGAAATTAAAACAAGCAAGAATCATAAAAAGTCATAAAAATGATATTATATAATGAGGCATGAAATTTAATTAAAACAGAAAAGTATACTCAGGCATTAAAAGGCATAAATATATAACAGTTCAGAAAGGCATAAAAGCAAAATAGTATAGTAAAGCATAAAAAGTCCTAGAAGAGAGATAGTATAATAAGGCATGAAAATGTCGTAGTATAATAAGGCATAAAAAGTCATAAAAACGGCATAGTATTGTAAGGCATAAAAAGTCATAAAAAAGTCATAGCATAGTAGGGCATAAAAAGGCAAAAAAGCAAAATAGTATAGTACGGTATAAAAAGTCAGAATAAAAAGTCATAAAAGGTCATGAAAACATCATAGTATAGTAAGGCATAAAAAGTCATGAAAACACATAGTATAGTAAGGCAAAAAAAAATCATAAAAGCATCATAGTATAGTAAGGCATGAAAAGTAATAAAAACGTCATAGTATAGTAAGACATAAAAGCGTCATAGTATAGTAAGGCATAAAAAATCATAGAATAATAAGTCATAAAAAGTCATGAAAACACATAGTATAGTAAGGCATAAAAAGTCATAAAAAGATCATAGTATAGTAAGGCATAAAAGCGTCATAGTATAGTAAAAAGTCATGGAATATTAAGGCATAAAAGATCATAGTATAGTAAGTCATAAAAAGTCAAAAAATATCATAGTATAGTAAGGCATAAAAAGTCATAAAAACACATAGTATAGTAAGGCATAAAAAGTCATAAAAAGATCATAGTATAGTAAGGCATAAAAGCGTCATAGTATAGTAAGGTATAAAAAGTCATAGAATAATAAATCGTAAAAAGTCATGTAAACGTCATAGTATAGTAAGGCATAAAAAGTCAAAAAAACATCACAGTATAGTAATGCAAAAAAAGTCATTAAAACGTCATAGTATAGTAAGGCATGAAAAATCATGGAATATTAAGGCATAAAAAGTCAAAAAATCGTCATGGTATAGTAATGCAAAAAAGTCATTAAAACATCATAGTATAGTAAGGCATGAAAAGTCATAGAATACTTAGGCATAAAAAGTCATGAAAAGATCATAGTATAGTAAGGCATGAAAAGTCATAGAATACTGAGGCATAAAAAGTCATAAAAAGATCATAGTATAGTAAGGCATAAAAAGTCATGAAAACGTCATAGTATAGTAAGGCATAAAAAGTCAAAAAATCGTCATGGTATAGTAATGCAAAAAAAGTCATTAAAACGTCATAGTATAGTAAGACATGAAAAGTCAAAGAATACTAAGGCATAAAAAGTAATGAAAAGATCATAGTATAGTAAGGCATAAAAAGTCATAAAACGATCATAGTATAGTAAGGCATAAAAGCATCAAAGTATAGTAAGGTATAAAAAGTCATAGAATAATAAATCATAAAAAGTCATGAAAACGTCATAGTATAGTAAGGCATAAAAAGTCAAAAAATCGTCATGGTATAGTAATGCAAAAAAAGTCATTAAAACGTCATAGTATAGTAAGGCATGAAAAGTCATAGAATACTAAGGCATAAAACGTCATGAAAAGATCATAGTATAGTAAGGCATGAAAACTCATGAAAACGTCATAGTATAGTAAGGCATAAAAAGTCAAAAAATCGTCATGGTATAGTAATGCAAAAAAAGTCATTAAAACGTCATAGTATAGTAAGGCATGAAAAGTCATAGAATACTAAGGCATAAAACGTCATGAAAAGATCATAGTATAGTAAGGCATGAAAACTCATGAAAACGTCATAGTATAGTAAGGCATAAAAAGTCAAAAAATCGTCATGGTATAGTAATGCAAAAAAAGTCATTAAAACGTCATAGTATAGTAAGGCATGAAAAGTCATAGAATACTAAGGCATAAAACGTCATGAAAAGATCATAGTATAGTAAGGCATGAAAACTCATGAAAACGTCATAGTATAGTAAGGCATAAAAAGTCAAAAAATCGTCATGGTATAGTAATGCAAAAAAAGTCATTAAAACGTCATAGTATAGTAAGGCATGAAAAGTCATAGAATACTAAGGCATAAAACGTCATGAAAAGATCATAGTATAGTAAGGCATGAAAACTCATGAAAACGTCATAGTATAGTAAGGCATAAAAAGTCAAAAAATCGTCATGGTATAGTAATGCAAAAAAAGTCATTAAAACATCATAGTATAGTAAGGCATGAAAAATCATTCAATATTGAGGCATAAAAAGTCACAAAATCTTCATGGTATAGTAATGCAAAAAAAGTCATTAAAACGTCATAGTATAGTAAGGCATGAAAAGTCAAAGAATACTAAGGCATAAAAAGTCATGAAAAGATCATAGTATAGTAAGGCATAAAAGCGTCATAGTATAGTAAGGTATAAAAAGTCATAGAATAATAAATCATAAAAAGTCATGAAAACGTCATAGTATAGTAAGGCATAAAAAGTC